TTCCATGAGTCTAGAGTCCTCAGCTGCTCTGTCTTTCCATGTCCTCATCTCTGCCTCCATCTCGTGTTGCTGCTTCTCTGGTTGGGGTCGCATGTTCAGCTTATGTTCTCCTTCCTTGATGGTCCTAGGGTCTTCTGTTCCTGGAATGCAAGATTAACTGCTCCCCACTTCAAAAGCCATTTTTTGTTGTGGTGAAATAGATAAAACTAAAAGTGTAGCATCTTAGCCAGTTTTTCAGAGCACAGTTCAGTGTCTTCATTTAAATTTTCCTTAAAGTTTCATTTTGGGAGGGGGTGGGAGAGGTGATTGCCAGAATCTGAGTCCCTTCCCCCACTCCCCAGGAGGATATTGCAACAGACAGGCTGAGGGTCCCTGCCTGAGACTCCAGGATCCTGGCCCTGACCCCAACGGTCTCTCTCCATCCCTGCAGATGGACGTGTACTGCTTCCTCTTCACAGACCTGCTCTTGGTGACCAAGGCAGTGAAGAGGGCTGAGAGGACCAAGGTCATCAGGCCACCACTGCTAGTGGACAAGATTGTGTGCCGGGAGCTTCGGGACCCTGGTGAAGAGCCCAGCTCCTAGGTAAGGGGCTGGTACAGGGAGAGGCTGCGATCTTAGCTGACTAGGGGCTTTCTTTCACCAGGATCTTTCCTCCTCATCTACCTGAATGAGTTCCACAGCGCTGTGGGGGCTTACACGTTCCAGGCCAGCGGCCAGGCCTTATGCCGCGGCTGGGTGGATGCCATCTTCAATGCCCAGGTCAGGACAAGAGTCCTGTGTGGGTGGATGAGGTGGGTAGGGTAGTGTGGTGGTGGCTGCTGCTTACCGCCCATCTGCCTCTGGATACCTCGACCCCACCTGTAGAACCAGCTACAGCAGCTACGTGTACAGGAGCACACGGGTACTCAGCAGCCCCTGCAGAGCCTGGAGGAGGAAGAGGATGAACAGGAGGAGGAGGAAGAGGAGGAGGAGGAGGATGGGGAGAGCAGCACTTCGACTGCCAGCTCCCCCACCATCCTGCGCAAAAGCAACAACAGCCTCGACTCTCAGCACTGGTAGGCATACCCGAGACCTCCCAGTAAGTCCCAGATGAGCAGGCCTTCCACCCCAGGCCTCCCATTTCCAAGGCCATTAACACTGGCCAGGGCCTCCTTCTGTGGAGCTGATGGGCATATGTGTGTGTGTGTGCATGCACTCTGTGACCAGAGTCTAGGAGGGGACAGTGAGTGAGCTGTTTTCATCTTGAGTGCCACATCTCATCAATGGTAGCTGTTGGAGTGCTAGGTTGAGGATTGAGATGTGCTACAATCCATTATTAATGTCTATTGTGGGCGCAGGTGTTGGGACATGTGGTATATATGTCACAGGCTTGCATCTCTGAGCCTCAAGCTCCTAGAGGCTGTAAATCTCTGCGTTGCTTGGCACAGGGCTGCTCCAGGTGGTCTGATTTCCTTTGGTTGGGCTGACTCTCTCCTCCGGACCCCACAGTGCCTCGGACGGCTCCACAGAGACCCTGGCCATGGTAGTGATAGAGCCTGGGGAGACACTGTCTTCACCCGAGTTTGAGAGCGGCCCCCTGAACTCCCCGTCAGATGAGACCTCCATGGGTACCACGAACTCCTCCATCACCCCCACCAGCGAGCTGCTGCCCCTTGGCCCAGTGGATGGTCGCTCCTGCTCCATGGATTCTGCTTATGGCACTCTCTCACCCACCTCTCTGCAAGACTTTGTGGCCCCAGCCCCTGTGACAGAGCCAGTGCCCCGGCCCCCAGAGGTGCCTCCAGTTCCTTCATCCCCATCTTCGCCCCGTCTCCGCCGCCGCACCCCTGTCCAGCTACTGCCTCACCTGCCCCATTTACTCAAGTCCAAATCAGAGGCCAACCTCCTCCACCTGCTGTCAGGAACCGCCACCCTCAGAGAGCCTCCAGCCCCCAGCCGCAGCTTGTCGGAGCTCTGCCTGGCCCCTACAGCCCCCGGAGCTAGGACTCAACGCTCCTCTCAGGGAGCTGGCCCTCGCTGGGATTGCCAGGGAATCCCCAGCCCTGGCAGGGGTCCTGAGCTGGTGGAACCTGAGGAAGAAACCAGTGGCCTGGCAGGGGATTTCTCAGGCCTCACCAGGAGGCCACAGAGGGAATTGCCCTCAGGGGCCTTGCCCGGAGTCCAGCCGGAGCCCCCGCCAAGCATCTCTGCTCAGCACAGGAGGCTGACCCTGGCTCAACTCTACAGAATCAGGACCACCCTGCTGCTCAACTCCACCCTCACTGCCTCGTGAGTGACCTGGCCAAGGCTAGAGGGCAGGTGAACCTGGGGACAGTGATTCCAGGGGCTGGATAGGGACACATAGTCATGGCTGAGAGGAGAGCCCAGGACCTGCCCGAGGGCCTGGCTTGGGGTGGCTCTGAGAGACAGTGGAATAGGGCCCTGAGGTTTCCAGTGGGGAGGAGAGGGGACCCAGGGGCCCTCTGTAAATGGCATCAGCTAAGGAAGAACTGTTTTCCTCCTTTACCCAACAGGGAGGTGTGAACAGAGGGAGGCCCCCAAGGGTGCTATTGACCAAGGGACAGCAGACAGCATGCCTCGCGGGGGTACCGGCAACTACTCCAGCCACTGCCTGTGTTGCACATGAGGAATGAGGGCAGGGCCCCTGCTGGCCCAGTAGGGCCAGTTTGCACTTTGTCAGACTGGATGGAAGTGGGGGAGGTCCTGGCAGAACCCCACCTCGCAGCCCCCACCCCCAACTAACCTGGCCTGAGTCTGCCAGGCAGGAGCCCCTTTGCTGTCTTCTTGAAGTTCCCAGCTAAACAACACCCTGGGCTGGCCTCTAGAGCTCTGGGTCCAGGCTCCCACTGCCACCCTCATTGGCCCCAAACTGGACTGGACCGTTCCCTGCTCCTGTGCCCCACTGGCCCTGCTGGCCCCCACAGGTCTTGGGTTGGGCTTTCTGTAAAGTTGCATATTTATTAAGTTTTTGTTTCTTTTATAAAGACTTGTATATACTCCACTGGAAAGAGGCCTTTGCTTTTGGAATCCATTCCTGTTCTGGTTCAGGTGGACTTAAGCTCTGTGGTGGCTCCCAGCACTGGTAGCAGGGAAGTGCGGGGTAGGGGTTCCTGAACCCACAGCCTAGGCCAAGTTGCCTACCCTACCCCAAGACTGTTATCCCCTGAGAGCCCTCCTTGAGGCGTCTTCCTGGGACCCTGCCTTGGTTGTCCAATGAGTTGATGTCTGACAGTACTCCTAGGAATTGGTATTGAGTACTGCAGCAGAGGGGATCCCCTGCACTCTCACCCCACAAGTACTCCTGGGAAGATGAGTGTGTGTGTGTCCTGTCCCATCCGTTCTCCCCCTCCCCATCACCTCCATGCTGGGGTGCCAGGCCCAGGGAGGAGCAGGCACTTGTTTAGGGCATAGGGTTGGGTACTTCTCCATCCTCAGCAGGTTCTGGAAGGACCAGCGCAGTGGGGGCACCGGGGGCACCGGGTGGTAGGTGCTCAGGTCCGGAAGCCCTGGGGAATGACCGTGCCCCGCCCTAGCCACCACCCTGAGGCGGGCTCTCACAGGCAACGTGGGGCGGACCTTCCCTGTGGGCTTGGAGCTGGCAGGCAGAGTGGGGAGCCTGGGCCCAGCAGTGCACCCTGTTGGAGGGCTAGGCACAACACGGAGCATGGAGCTGTGGCCCTGGTGCTGCGCGGTGGCTGCGGTGAGTGGGGCGCAGGATTCCACAAAGCCTCAAGCCTTTCTTTGGCACCCCACCGGACGCAGCGGTTGTGCTAAAGGAAGGGGCCTGGGGCAGGCAAGTCTCTGTTCCCAGCCAAGCTGGGGGCTGGGCTGGCTTGCTGCCGACCTAGTTAGAAGTTCAGCCTGGGCGGGGACCTTCCGCTGGGAGGAAGCCCCTGCCAGGACTCAAGGGACCTAGGGGGCCTCAGGCAGACAAGCATCAGTGTCCCCCACCTCTAAAAGGCCTGAGTGGGGTGGGGGTGGGGCTCAGACAGCCCCAATTCTTGTCCTGAGGGAGACAGTGAAAGGAGCTGTCCTGAACCTCCTCTGCTCTCTGGGAAGCCTGGTGTGTGCTGAGCCTGGGAACTGGGTTGCTCTGAGGCCACATTCTGGGGCCTGGAGTGGGGAGACAGGTAGCAAATGCTCAGGTGGAGGCAGCCCTGTTGGAATCAGCACTCTCTCTCCCCTAGGCCCTGCTCCTGGTGCTGCTGGGAGCCCAGGGCCAGGACAACACACCTAACCCCAGGTGTGACTGTGCCCAAGACTCCCAGAAGAGGTATGGTCTGCTCTGTTGCAAGGGCTGCCCAGCAGGTGAGTGGTCTGTGATGGTAGGGGGGAAGGGCAGGCTGGCGGCTGAGGAACCAGGTAGGGGTCAGAGAAGTGGCAGGTAGATGGGGACAGTCTGGGAAGGAAGTAGAGCTCAAGAGAAAGGAAGGATGAGTTAAGTGTGTGGGCAGTTCCCTTTTACTGGCCTCTGTCCCGGTTTCATAGGGTACTACCTGAAGGCCCCTTGCACAAAGCCATGTGGGGCTGCCATCTGCCTTCCGTGTCCCCAGGGCACCTTTCTGACCAGGGAGAACCACTATGAGACTCGCTGTGCCCGCTGCCAGACCTGTGATGAGCAGGGTGAGGGGCTGCCTAGTGCTTGGGGGTGGGGAATTCTGGGGAACGGCATCTATGAATCATGGGTCTTTCTGGAAGAAGCTGCGGTTGGGGTGCAAGTACCCTGTGATCCCTCATCCCAGGTTCTTGAACCAAAATCCTGCTTTAGGGCACCTTGTCTCTCCTGTTTCCTGTTGTCCTTCCTGTCTCTTAGTGTCTTGGCCTCTGAGGCTGCAGCCATCTCTGTGCCTTGGGGGAGGGGATACCCTCTCTCTTTATCTTCATTCTCAGGGGCTTTCTGCGCTGGCCTTTCTGCTCTGGTGACCTATGCATTTCCTATCTCCCCACATCCCAAGCAGCCTTTCAGGTCGCCCTGGAGAACTGTTCAGCAGTGTCGAACACCCGGTGTGGCTGTGAGCAGGGCTGGTTCAAGGAGTGCTCTGTCCTGCGCTGTAGTGCTGCCTCTCCCTTCCACTGCCTTCCGTGCTTAGACTGCGGGGCTCTGCATCGCCACACTCATGTGCCCTGTGAGTATCACTTGCCCGTAAATCTCTCCAACCCTGTCTCCTGCCTCATCCATCCTGACCACTCCATCTCTTGGACCACAGGTTCAGGCAGAGACACGGATTGCGGGGCGTGCCTGCCTGGCTTCTACAAACACGGTGATGGCTGCTCAACCTGTCCCACGTAACTTCCTATCTGGACTGGGGGAGAAGGGAGGCTGTCAGCAGGGTGGGGTGGACATGGGAAGCAGCTGCTAATTTGGGGGTGAGGGAGTCTCAGGATGAGGGGCACAGAGGAGTGTACCTGGCTTCAGGCAAACACAAGTGGTAGAAGGATATTAACTGCAGATACGTAAGGGGGCACATTGTCTCTCTCTCTAAGAATTTCCTTGAGTGATCCTAACAGTGCACACTAAAGATGGGATTAGTTTCACATGTAAAGAGAATTACTTTGGCATGGGTTCAAAACTTGGGCAGGGAGGCCTTGGGCATGTTACATAATCTCTCTGATCCATGGTGCTTCTATTTGAAACATCAGGATGTTAATAGTTTTATCCATAGTGCTAGGATTCATTCATTCCCTCAACAAATAGGTACTGAACATCTACTGTTTCCAGACATTGTTCGAGGGGTTGTTGTTGTTATGTGCCATTGAGTCAGTTTTGACTCATAGCGACCCTGTACAGGGTTTCCAAGGAGTAGCTGATGGGTTTGAACTGCCAACCTTGTGGTTAGCAGTTTAGTCCTGATTCTACAGCATCACACTGGAATTCCATTCTAAGGGTTGCTATTATGTGCCGTGGAGTTGGTTCCGACTCATAGTGACCCTGTACAGGGTTTCCGAGGCTGTAAATCTTTACGGGAGCAGAAAGCCTCATCTTTCTCCTGCGGAACAGCTGGTAGTTTTGAACTGCTGACCTTGTGGTTCACAGCCCGATTCGTAACCACTACGCTACCAGAGCTCTAAGGGTTAGAGGAACAAAATAGGCAGAATCTCTGCCCTTGACACTGACATTCTAAAGTCCATCAATCCAGCCTAGAAGAAGCTCAATAAATGGTGGTTGCTACTGTTATCAGGGACACAGGTGACATTTCAGCAAGACTTCTGTTACATTCTTGGGCTACATTCAGGAGAGGATATCAGGTAGTCCTGGGTAGCGCCTGCCAGGGTATGTCCTCCCTCATGTCCACCTGGCCCCCTCCCCTTGCAGGAGCACTCTTGGGAGCTGTCCTGAGCCCTGTGTTGCTATCTGTGGCTGGAGACAGAGTAGGTGGCATGTTTGGGATGGGAGTGGGGGGTGTTGGGCTAGGCCAAGGAGCATTTGGGGTATGGTGACCACCATTACCCACCCACCAACTGCCTTTTCAGTGTTTTGGGTCCAGGTGCTCCTGGCAAGCTTGGTGGTCCCACTCCTGCTTGGCGCCATGCTGACCTATTTGTACCGGCGCTACCAGCTTCATAAGCCCATGATTCTTGGTAAGTGTGCACATTCTTTGGAACCTGGGGTGAGGATGGGTGAACCCACTCAGTCATGATAAAGGAGGGGAACTGAGGCAGGGAGTGTAGGATATACAGGAACCCAGAGACCTTGCCTGGAGCTGCCCAACCCCTCTCTTTCTCTCTGAGCAGATGAAGCTGGGATGGATCCCCTGAACCCTTTGCAGGTAAGAGTTTCAGCAATGTGCTGGGGAAGAGGGTAGGCAGGTTCCCTGGGCCACAGCCTCTGGAGTGGAGAAACTGGGCCTTCTTAGAGCTTGTAGTTTCCAGTGTGCCGGTGGTGGTTATTAAGCTGCTATGGAGTTGGCACCTGACTCATGTTGTTGTTCTTAAGTGCCATCAAGTCAATTCTGACCCATAGGGACCCTGTATAGTGTTTCCAAGGAGCAGCTGGTGAGTTCAAACCACCGAACTTGCAGTTCACATGACTTTGCAGTCTGATGCATTAATCCACAGCGCCACACCAGGACTCATGGCAACCCCATATATAGTGGGTTTGAACGGTTGTGATTCATGCAATTTTTCATTGGCTGATACCAGGGTTTTCTGTTGTTGTTAAGTGCCGTCGAGTCGGTTCCGACCCATAGTGACCCTGTTTAGGGTTTCCAAGAACCAGAGTTTCCTGTTGTGTTGTTGTTAAGTGCTGTCGAGTCGATTCTGACCCATAGAGACCCTGTACAGGTTTCCGAGGCTGTAAATCTTTACGGGAGCAGAAAGCCTCATCTTTCCCCCACGGAACCGCTGATAGTTTTGAACTGCCGACCTTGAGGTTCACAGCCCAATTCGTAACCACTACGCTACCAGAGCTCCTTGATATCCTAGTTTATCTTAATCTGGAAGCTCCACTGAAACGTGTTCAGCATCATGGTAACACACCAGCCTTGATTAGCAGACTTAGTGAACAAGGAGAGCTGAGTATCAGTAAACAAGGCCAGCTCAGTCATCACCCCAAGGCTACAGTCTGCTGGAGCAGGAATGTGTGAACAAGAGTGTCTATTCAGCTGGCTGAGTGTGTTAAGGGGAGACCTCCCCAGGGGCACGTAAAGGCTGCCCACAAGCGTAAATGGAGGGATAGGGTATTCCAGGCAGATGGCAACTGTGGTGGGAGAAGGCTCCAGTGGGAGATCATGGCTAACTGGGGAGGAAGCATTGGGAATGGTTATAGGCGGAACCAAGGATCTGGTCACTGCTAGTCAGAGACCCCAACAAAGGAGTCTTATTAGACAAAACTTACTCAAGCCCTTCTTGATTTCCAGGCCACTTACCCCTCATCCTTGGATGGCACCCATAACCTCCTAACCCCACTCAGCAACACTGAGAAGGTTTGCACTGTCCAGTTGGTTAGCAACAGCTGGACTTCTGACTCCCCTCAGAGCCAGGAGACACTCTGCCCAGAGGTGCCATGGTCCTGGGACCAACTGCCCAGCAGAACCCTTGGTAAGCAGTGGCCTGAGGCCCTGACCCCATTTTTCGGAGTGCGAGGTGGGAAGTTGTGGTTTCCCAATCATCACTTGCCCACTTCCTGCTCCCTAAATGACCAGGCTGGCCTTTGTCTAGCTCTGCTCCCCACATCATTCCCCACCCGGCTTCTAGCTCTAGCCGCATTCCTATTGGTTCTCTCTGACCCGCTTCAGGCCAGCCTCTGGTGCCTGCGCTTCCGCCAGCGCCCCCTGCAGGTTCAGCAGTTGCCATGCTCCAGCCAGGCCCACAACTTTATGATGTGATGGATGCTGTGCCTGCTCGGCGCTGGAAGGAGTTCGTGCGTACTCTGGGACTTCGCGAAGCGGAGATTGAGGCCGTGGAGGTGGAGGTGGGCCGCTTCCGTGATCAGCAATACGAGATGCTCAAGCGCTGGCGCCAGCAGCAGCCCGCGGGCTTGGGCGCCGTTTACGCGGCCCTGGAGCGCATGGGGCTGGATGGCTGCGCAGAGGATCTGCGCAGCCGCCTGCAGCGTGGCCCATGAAATGGATCCCACCCGCCGCCTCAGGGCTCGGGTGGACCCTTTGAGAAGCTCTAAGTACAGTTACTTATGCGTGTAGACATTTTATGTCACTTATAAAGCCTATGGCCCGGCCCGGCCCTGCATAGCAGTGCCCGCCAGTTTCTCCCCTGCTTGCCCCAGAGTTCCGGTTCAGGGCGAAGCATTGACAAATATTGGGGGAGGGGTCAGGAGATGTTCCACTGTTTCTTGGTCTGAGTGTGGCGGAGGCCTTGGTAATAAATATCTGAAGAAAAGCTGCTTGCTGTTTGTACAGGACTGGGGTACAAAAACCTGGGCTTGGCTTCCTGGAGGGCATGAAAAGGGCCAGGGGTTATGCCACCTCAAGGTCTGGGACCATTATCTTTTCATTAGATTTTCCCAATGAAATTTTGTAGCCCCCTCTTAGCACCTTGGCAGACATTACTTCAGGGTGTCTCTTAGTTGCGCATCTGAAACACGGCCTGCTGCCTGTCGGGTGACTTTCATATTTGTGGCAACTCAAAGTCATTCCATGCTTCTTTGGAGCCCCTTGCACTTGCCCTTGGGGGCAAATGCTCCATCTGCTCCCACCACCCCAACCATGCCTCCCTGTGTCTACCTTGCTTGGACATTGGGCATGCTGGGCTAACAGCAACTGCTCAGTGGCGCCCCCTTCAAGTGTCACCTAGAGTATGTCTCATATCTGCCAGACCTTAGATATGCTTCTACCAAGGGGAGTTCATGGGAGCCATGTGGCCCTTAGCCCCAAAGCCACCCACTTCCCTATGCCGACCAGTTAGCCTTAGAAACATAAAGAGGAAGGCCCCACAGCGGCGAGTGAGAGGCTGGAAGCCCAGTGGCTGAGAGAGTTTTAATGGAGGGCAGAGAGGGAGGGGGAGCAGGGGCTAGGCAGCTGATTGGAGAGCCAGTCCAGGTTCCCTAGTCCTCCACTGGATTAGTAGAAGGGCCCAGGAGCAGACCTAACTGGGGAGGGGGCAGAGATGATCCTGGAGCAGTTGTCTCCCGGTTTACGGGCAGTTCGCAGTTTTCGTCGTTTCTGGTAAACAAATGACTGAGAGGAAACCCTCGCCGGGGATGGGAAATGAGGCTAGGCTGGGCAGCGCAGATCTGGGTCAGGGAGGGAGGAAAGCCCCATCCTCATTGTCCCCAGCCTCCGCCCAGGATGCGCCTACGACTCAAGTTCCGGGGTGCGGGGGAGGGGGCTGCAGGCGCACCCTGCAGGAAACAAAGTCACCACCCAGGGTCGGGAGAGCTCTGTGCTTTGACATTCAACAAAATGCAAATATATATAAATCAGCATGCAAATAAGCAGCATCTTTTTTGCCTCTGAGCCGTTGTGGCGGGGGAGTGCTCCAGCCCAGCTTCACCCAGGGCTGGGATGCGGAGGGTGGGGGGAAGAGGGGGTGGAGGGGTTCCAGCGCTGGTGGGGAGGCGGTGCTGCTCCCAGCCCTTCCACTGCCATAGGCAGGCAGGCAGGCGCAGGGACTGGGGTCTCGAACTTGCAGGGTTGAGGACAAAAGGCCACGACACCTAGTACTTAGCGATGTCCCCTTTCTTCAGGATGATCTGTCGCTGCCAGGGTGCCAGCTTGGTCTCATCGTAGCCCAGTGTCCGCAGCTTCTCCGACTGTTCTTTCTCTCGCTGCTGCTCCTCTAGCTTCTGTCTCTCCTCCTCTTTCCTGGGGGTGGGATGGGGTGAGGGCAGAACTACGGTGGAGCCTGGCTATAGGCACTTGTGTGTGTGTGAAGGGGTGGGGAGGGTGGACAGAGAGGGAGGGACAGGCACCTGAGCTGGGTCATCTACTGAGGGCAAAGGTGGACAGGGCAATGTGTTCTTGGAAGAAACCACAAACCAAATCCATTGCTGTGTAGTAGCTTCCAGCTCATAGCAGAATGGCTGGGGACAGAGAGGCTTGATTGAGAGCAGAGGTTATTGGGGCACACGAGTGGGAGGCCACAGATGGATTATTGTGGGGGTGGGCATTATTGGAAACATGTTGGGTCGTTCTGTGGCAGGCCATCCTAGGTTATTAGTAAATGAATGAGGGGCTATGAGGTACAGAGGGCAAGATTTTAGGGGCCAGGACCGGAGTTATAGAGCATGGGTTAGGCTATTGGGGCTGGGGCAGAGGGACCACATTATCAGGAGATGGGAGCTGTGTAGTTAGGGACAAGTTTATTAGACTATAGGGATACTGTTGACAAGGTCGAGTTCTTAGATGGCAAAAATGGCTAAGCACTCAGCTATTAACCCTAAAGGTTGACAATTCAAACCCATCCAGACACCTCAGAAGACAGGCCTGGTGTTCTGCTTCCAGGTCACTGGTGGGAAAACCCTATGGAGCAGTTCTCTGCACACATGAGGCTTCCCATGTCAGAACTGATTGCCATTGGTTTTCTTGGTTCTGTTGACAGGAGAGCCCGCCTGCCACATGTGGTTATTGAATATTTGAAATGGGGCTGGTCTAAATTGGGATGGGTTTTAGTTATAAAATACATGAGATTTTTCAAAGCCTTAGTTTCAAATGTAAAATACCTTAGTAACTTTTTATATTAATTATATGTTATATGAGATATACTGGGCTACATAAAACGTTATTAAAATTAAATTCACTATTTTCTATATGAGGAGTCCTGGTGTGGTGCTGTATGATAAGCACTGGACTGCTAACCACAAAGTTGGCTGTTCAAATCCACCAGCTGCTCCTTGGAAACCTTATACAGGTTGCTCTGAGTTGAAACCAACGCTACAACACTTAACAACAACATTTAAGTATGTGGACTCCTGGTGTGGCACTGTAGGATAAGCAATGAACTGCTAACCACAAGGTCAGCGGTTTAAACCTACGCCTCAGAAACCCTATATAGGGTCACTGTGAGTCAGAACCAACTCCATGGCACTTAACAATAACAACAACAATTTATATATATAGGTCTGTTTTCATACCTGCCTGGCTATGTGTTCTGGGCATTTTAGTTGAGAAATGTATCTATCAAAAGGGGGTTCTGCTGTTGGGGGGTAATGACAGGGTGCCCTTGAAGGGTTTAGGCTTTTGAATTTGACCTGAATTTTAGTCCTTGCTTTAGGACTTTAGTACAGCCACCAGGCCTCAGTTCCCTCATCTGAAAAATGGGAATGTACCCATTCTAACAAGGAGCCCTGGTAATGTTGTGGGTTCTGAGTTGGACTGCTAACTCAAGGTCAGCAGGAGAAAAGAGGCTGTCTGCTCTCATAAAGATTTAGTCTCAGAAACCCTCTATGAGTCCTCGTTGACACAGTGGCAGTGGATCGGATTTATTTATGTGTTTTAATGTGGCTACTAGAAAAATTTTAATTACTACATATGTGACTCACATTACATTTCTGTTGGACAGCACTGGGGTCAGAAACTAAGTTTGGGGGGCACAGATGATGAAGGCTATTGATACTGGGGCTAAGTTCACTGTGGTGGGGCTAGTGGGAAATGGGAGCTGGCTATGGGGCAAAGTTACTAAGATGTTGGGGAAAGCTGTTTGGGAGAAAAGGTCTGGTGGTATTGTGAACAGAGTGACAAGGAGAATGTTAAAATGGGGCTGGATGTGGGAACAAGAGGGCAGGTCTCTGTGACACAGTGCAGGAAGGGGAGGCAGTAGGGCCCAGCCCCCCACTCACCGCTTCTGCTCCCTGGAAGGAAAAAAAGACAATGTTAGTTGGTGTCACCACTTCAGGTATACAATTCAGATACCCAGCCAGGCCCCATCATTTGTGCTCACCTCTCCTCTTCCAGTTTCTTCCGCAGGATGTCCCGCCTCCAGGCAGGCATGCTGGCCAATCGGGCTTCCTCCTCCTCCTCCTGAAACACAACCACAGAGCTTCAGGACCAGCAATGGCTGGAAGAAGAACATCCCCAATCAAGGAGAAGGGAGCTTGGAAGAGTAGGGATGATGGGACACAGATAGGGGTGCAGGAAGAGACCCTTCTGATGCCAGTTATGGGGGCGTATCTGATCACAGCTTCTGCCCTCTGGGCCCTAGAGAGATTAAGGCTGGGTCATGATGTAGGAAGTAAGAGTTGATGTAGAAGTAGAATGTAGTCGTTGAGTGATCCCCAGAGACCCTGAGCCTGGTTCAGCACTGGGACAGTGGACAGATGGACCCAGAATCTCTGGGTAGACCCAGACGTGGGCCCTCAGAGCTCCTGCCAGCTGATATCCCTGATAACCCATGAACGACCTTCTGCCCACACCTGTCTTTTCCCCAGATGGAATGGGCACCAGCTCTGCAATTGTGGGGTGGTCCAACACAGGCACTGACAGAAAAGAGTTTTATTACTTGGTGTTACAGAAGGAAAAGGGTTTTCACGTAGCACAGCACACACAACACTGTACAGGTGCCCCCCTGACCGCAGCCAGGAAGGTAGCTGTGAGTGTAAGTGAAATCTAGAGAGAGAGGGTCACACCTCAGTCCCTTACTCTAGAGCCTGCATCTTCTGCCTGGCTCTGTGCAGAGCCCAGCAAGGTCTATGGCTATTGTTATGGTCTGACACAGCCCACCCCTCCTGGCCAATGTCCCACATCTTGACATGATGGAACTTCAAAGACTGGCGCAGCCTGGAGCTGAGCACTTTTTAGCCTTCCAAGACCAACTGCCCTGGACTCTTCTGCCAGCTTCTGGCCACCTCAGGGCCTCAAACAGGCATCCCAGCCCGGGTTAAGATGCCTGAAGGTGAATTTTGGATTCTCTGTTCAAATGTCAAACAACTCTGCCTCCTTCTCCTTCCAAAATGAGAAGCTGCGGTCGATGTAGCGGCAGATGTCTTCATTGCTGAACTCGCCCATCTCTAACACCAGTTCCAGGGGGTCTTCAGCCGCGATCTCAGAACTAGGCAGGTCCGATGGCAGCGTGGGTGGCGGGGCGGGCGGGGGCGGGGGCTGTGGCGCAGGGGCCTCGGGTTGCTCTTCTGACCAGTCCTCGGTCTGAGCTGAAACTGTCTCTTCTACAGGCTCCCGCTCCTCTGTCTCCTTCTCTTCCTCCTCTTTTTCTTCTCTCTCTTCTTCCTTCTCCTCCTTCCCAGCAGGCCCATTCTCCAAGCCGCCGTCTTCGAAGAACTGGCGCCTAAGGTCCTCAAAGCCGTCGCTCCAGTTGCGTCGGCCTGCCTCCACCTCCTCGAGTACCACACGGTGGAAGTGGCGAATGAGTTCCCAGGAGTGGCTGCCCAACCGGTCGAACATCTCATAGCACAATAGGTGGCGGAACTTGCGCTCTTCCCGGCTCAGGCCCATCTCCAGCAGCTGGAAGTAGCCGAGCATGAAAAGGTCAAGTGTGAGGCTATCGTAGCTTGGAGGCGCGCTGCCATCGAGTGGTGGCAGGAAGTGCTCGGGCCAGTACAGACCGTGCGCTAGGCCCGGGCCCCAAGGTGCGCGCGCCGTTGTTCGTCGTTGCAAGTTCCGCCAGCGGCCGAGCAGCTTGTCCACTACCTGCCGCTGCTTCAGCAGGTGCCGTAGCCGCCCGTCGGGACCGTCGCCCACGGATGGCTGAGGGGCGGTCGGGGCGGTCGCGGCCTCGGGGTCCAGGTCGGCGCCGGCGGCCAACACGCGGGGTAACAGCTTCCGCAGGCGCGCCTGTGTATGGCGCGTGGGTCCGAGGCAGGTCCATTTGCGCCAGTGCTCCAGGAAGAGGTAGACGATGCGCTCTTTGCGCATGTCGATGTAGTCTTGGACACCGCGCACCTCAGAGAGCTGCGGCTCACTAGCCAGCTGCTCTAGCCCTGGTAGCGCCGCCTGGCGGCCCGGCACCGCAGACGAGTCCCGCATGCACCGTGGTTCTCCCGCCGGCAACAGGTCGTTGGCCACAGCAACGTTGGACTCGCAGGGGCCGGCTTCCACATAGTCCTCCTCGAGGATGGGCTCGCGACCCGGGCCCGGGGCGTGCAGAGAGGGTTTTCGGATAGGGCCGCACGCGTGTGCCGAGCTCTGGGCTAGCTGCTCATAGGTGGCGCGGAGGTGCTGCACTGAGACACCACACTCAAGGATCTCACGCGCCACCGCGTCCCGGCACCAGCTGAGCGAGTGCGAGCGACCCAGGCACTGCGGTCCGGGCCGCCAGGGCGCGTCAGGTAGCGGTGCCAGCGGCTGGCCGGTGTCGGCGGCCAGCAGCTCGGTCAAGTGAGCGGGTCGGCCGCCTAGCGCCGCCAGCAGTGATGCCATGCTCTTGAGAAGCGTGGAGATCTTGCTGCACCAGGCCGGCAAGCTGGCGGCGCGGCCGTGCATTCGGCGCGGGTCGACCGTGAAGCGCGGCGCCGCCAGCACAGCCGAGATAGGAAGTAGTTGTTCCAACTCCCGTTCCAGTTGCTCCAGGCGCGCCTCTAGTTTTTGCGCCTTGTGTAGCACCTGTAGGTTTTCTATTTGCTGCTCTATGCGGAGGATGTCGGCCTGGGTCATGAGTTCGCCGAAAGGTCCAAGGATGGCGTTGTGCGCACTGGAGTACCTCCAGCCCTCGCGAGGGTAGCAGCACGGGCTGGCAGCCGTCAACTAAGCGGGGAAGACAAGAGAGGGGAGGGAGGCGCGTCTCCTTCTGGCCACACTCGGGCTTCCGCAGTGGCCGCCGGGGTGCCATTTGCATGTACCAGGTGGTGTAATGGCTCCATGTGGTTGCGGTTGCAGGGATGAGCCATGCCGGCCAGGCGGGCGACTACACTGGAGCAAGGCTTTGGCCCAGGCTGCTGTTCCGGGCGATGGGCACGGTCCACTTGTGTCCCTGGTGGGGAGCATAGCTGCTTGTTGGACGCTGCTGCCTAGGCAGGGTGAGCGGGCAGGCATCCGGGTCTCCACGCCTAGCTTGGTTGCTCATTACACCACCGAAGGAACGTGCAAAAGGCGTTGAAATATCCACTCACGGCAGCCTTCCCCGACCCCAGTCCAAGGCCTGCGATTCCCAGGCTGGATGCTGGGTAGGCCTCAGGTGGGCCCCATCTCGAGAGCTCCCCTGCCGCCCAAACCCTCCTCATCAGCGCTGCCCATGTTTTACATGCAGAATGAAAGGGCCTCCACTTCACTCCTACCAGGCTAAAGGTATGACTCCCATCCGGATGCCCACCTCGCAGTGTAACAATCAAGTGAATAGAGCTATGCTTGCCAGGCACTTCTTACATTCTCATTTATTCCTCACTTTCTCCATCATTGAAAGATGAGGCTCTCTGCACTCAGGAAGATTTACAGCCTTGGAAACCCTATACAGGGGTTGCTATGAGTTGGAATCGCCTGATAGCAGTGGGTTTAGTTTTGGGTTTTCTCCTTCATTAGGCTGTCATTAAGAGGCCAGGCTTTTCTAGCCAAAGTGACTGCTCTTACCCACTTCCAGACTTCTCAAGTCCCTTTAACTCACTACAATTCTGTCCCTGTAGACAAACAAGATGATGCCACATTCCTGTATCCTCACTGCTCCAAGAGAAAGTCCATTTTCCTGTACGTGACCAGCCAGGTCTTGGTGACCTGACCCCTACTGACCTTTCTAATTTAGCCCTCTCCCCTCTCCTTGAATAGAACTGCTAGACCCACATCCAAGCCTCTTCTCTCCTGTCTACTGTGCTCCCCTAAAACTCTCTCCACAACTCTTGCTCATCTTCCAAGTCACCTGAGACGTCATCTACTCTTTCCCTAAAACTTGACCCAATTGCTCTTGCTTCCCCAGAGATTCATGTTCACATCACCCTGTTTTGTCTCCTTTGTAACACTTATCACTCTGTTAAGCTGATGTGTATGTATCTGTGATTGCTTGCTAATTGACCCCCTGCAGCCACCATTAGCTCTTCAAAAGTCGTTTTTTTTTTTTTAAGTCAAGTATGTTCTGGCTCATAGAGACCCTGTATACATTTCTTGCGGTTAGTAGTCCAGCAGTCCAGTGCTTATCCTATAGTGCCACATCATGAATTCTCAGAGTCTCAACAGGGTATGACACACAGAGGATGCTTGGTGGTGGTTATGTGCTGTGGAGTCGGTTCCGACTCATAGTGACCCTGTACAGGGTTTCTGAGGCTGTAAATCTTTACGGGAGCAGAAAGCCTCATCTTTTTCCTGTGGAACAGCTGGTAGTTTTGAACTGCTGACCTTGAGGTTAGTAGCCCAACTTGTAACCAGAGCTCTTTCAAAGGATGCTTGTTGTGGTTGTTAAGTGCTGTCGAGTTGATTCCGACCCATAGCGACTCTGTATAGGGTTTCCAAGTAGCAGCTGGTGAGCTTGAACTGCCAACCTTGCAGTTCAAACAACTTTGCAATCTGGCGCGTTAACCCACAGCACCATACCACTTATTGAATGAATGACTCAAACTTCCAGTTAGTGACGAGCAACCCATCTTATAGATGAGAAAACTGAGCCTGAAGTCGGCTCAGTGATCAGCAGCTGGAAAGCGGCAGTACAAGGATTAAACCCTGCCTGTAAGTGGAGCTAGCAGCAGCAGCAGCTTCACCCAGAGCTTGTTAGGAATGCAGAACCTTGACCTCCCCAGTGGGAGCTGGCTTTTAACAGTATCCCAGGCAATTTGCAGGTATATTGATAAACCTGACTTCAAAGGATTTATGGACTGGTGCACTAGGAACAGTCTTAGGAGTGGGTGTTTCCTACCCTGCTTTTCCCCAAAGGTATGGGTGGCCAGGATGTGGAAGGGCCAGGATGAGTGGGAGTGGGGTTAGAGGATGGGCCTTTTGCCTGCACACAGACCCTGGGAGCCCCACCCCACCCACCTTCCGCCTTTGTTCCTCCTCCTCCTGCATCTTCAGCTGCAGCTTTCGCACCATCACCTGGCGCTTCCACTCAGGGATGGGCCGGCCCTGCTCATCGTGTGTGGGGATGAGCGCCTCCACATCCAGCTGCACACCCGGCGCAGGAGTGGCAGGTGGCGCTGGGGCCAAGCTGCCATTAAGCAGTGGTTGGGGCCCAGCGGCTGGCGGGGTGGGGCTGCGGGCCCGTGATGGTGTGGGCGACACCAGTGGCAGTGGAGAGCTTGGCTGTGGGGAGAAGCAGGGAGGCTGAGTGTGGAGCGGTCAGGCAAGGGGCAGGAGAGTCGAGGTGGAGTGTCCATCTGGGCCGCCTACCTGGGAGGCCTGCTGTCCACTGCCTGAGAACACTGTGGTCAGCCCCTTGCTCTGCGGCGTTGGCTTCAGGCTCTTGCCCGCCTTGATTTCAGCCAGCAGCTCCGAGTTGTCGCCAGTTGGGGACATCATGTTGAAAGACTTGGTGCCTGCTCAGAGGTGGGAGAGAACGAGCTGGCCTAGGGGACTGGACCACATCTTTGCTGCCCCAACCCCCATCTCTTGTTCCCTCCCCTAAAGAGAATGGGGGCAGGGGCAGTTAGGGCAGCTCTCTAGATTCCAAGTCCAGCCCATGATCTACAGGGCCCCCAGAGGAGGGTCTTTGACTCTAGTCCATGGCGGCCCCACCATCCTTCTGCCCTACTCACGGGGTACGGGGCCCCCGCCTGGGGGCCCCAAGGAGTTCATAGTAGTTCTTGGGTCGATCCTGGGTACTCTAGGGAATGTCTCCGCCCAGCACACTGACTGCCCAGCTCAAAGGCATTACCTAAGACCAGCCCCTCGACCTTTGTCCAGGGCTCCCAGGTTCTGCCTGGCCAGGGTGGAGTCTCCTTTCGGCCCTGCATCAGCAAAGCCCAGCAGCGACCCTTGGACTGAGTTGCCTGGGGCCTCCATGACTGGAAGACGCAGGAACCTGGAGTACTAGCCTTCAGCCTGCCCCCCCCAAAACACACCTACACACAGATGGGTGCAGACACATGGGTTGCAAGCTTTGAGCACAGTTATGACAAAGCGCTGCCGGCTCTGGGGAACCCTGGAAAGTGGCTCTCTTACTAAAGATATGTGACAGGGCAGCTAGGAAGAAGGACCTCCAGATAACATGCAAATACCTGGCTCGGAGTTTGCATTTTCCCCACTCCACCAGCGGAGGTGACTGGGGGTATTTGGGGAGAATTGTGTTGAGAGCCTCAAGGAAGGTGCCACGTCTAGGTGGAGGAACAAAAAGGCCAACCCTCCTGGATTTGGGGTCTGAGGACTGCAGGGAAGGGAAAGGCAGCAGCAGGTGGTGGCCACTGGTGCTGGATCATTTCCTTAGGCAAACCCAAGAAGCATACAGCCTGCATGGGGGAGCAGATGAGTGTGCATACACATGGGTGTGGTGGGGTATGAGAGTGACCCCTGCCCACTGGTCTCTGGTCCTGCCCTTTGCTAGAAGCCCAGCCCTTTTGCCTTGATTCTTCTGGGAATGCTCCCGTCCCCTGCCCCCACACCTCAGCCCAAAGGCCCATGGAGCTACTCACTCTTCCTGTGTCTCAGGACTCTCACTTCTAGGAAGGAGAGAAGAGAGGTGACAGTGAAGTTAGGAGGGAGAAAGGGCTGAGGGGAGGCATGGACAGTGAGAGAGGGCCAAGTTCCAGGGAGGGTAGGAATGGGGAGAGGAGGAGGTTTCTGACCCATCAGACCCTGGCCCAGCCTCCTGGAGGCTCCACAGGGGTGGGGAGTAAGGGGGGAGGATCTGCCCAATTCCCCACACCAGGACTTCAGTTTTGGTGTAAGGCTGGGTTAGTGTACCCAAGCTCTGCTGGAAGGGATGTCTGGAGAAACCCAGAGCCGATTTTCTTCTCTTTTCAGCTTCTGCCAGGCTGCAGGGCACAGAGGGAAGCAGAAGCAGCTCACTCCCCTCCGCCCCCAACCGGACACGGACTGCAGGCCTTTCTGGAGGTTCAGCTGACTGAATACATGCTCTCAGGGCTCAGATCTACAGGGACTGGGCTCCATAGGAACCCCAGGGACCGGGACGTACATGGTTCTATTCTGAGGCTTTGAAATCCTGACTAGGAAGACAAAGCTTTGCAATGATGCAAAATGTGGTCCCTGTTCAGAGTGGCCGGAGTGAGGAAGCTGCAGTGTTTACAAAGTGCTCTCAACCAATCAACTCCTGGGCCTTCCAGAAACCCTGGTAGGCAGGATACTTACAGAAAAGACCTGGTGTTCTGACTACCAGTCTAGCTCTTAAAAGGATTCAAAGAGGACCGACCACTGGCCTTCTTCTCAAATCTAGGCTCTGACTGTCCCAGGACCACTGGGGAGGGGGCTGTGGCTCTGAAGAGTTCCTAATACATATGAGAATGGCTTAGGTCTGTCCTAGCTTGGAAAAGCAGAGAAAGAAATCAAAAGTGGAAGGGAGATTCAGGTTAGCTGGAGCAGGAAGGAGGGGACCAGCAGTCCTACCCCATGAAGCTACTTTCACTTCTAAGGGCTTCCTTCCAGCACCAGCTCATCAGAAACACCAGCCTCAAGAGTTGGAGGGCACTCCCTACAGGCTGGTCCAGAGAGGGTTGGGAACTTGCCCCAAGCCACACAGCCCTAGAGTAACTCAGAACTTTTCTTGGTTGGTTGGGGTCAAGTCCCCAAAGGGGTGGGGCATCGGGAAGAAGGAGGAGAGGACTAGGGCAGTTGCAGCTAGGGGATGGGGAAGAGCGGTGTCTACATCTCCCTCCCCCTCCAGGGCTGGCACCGCCCCACGGGCTCCTGCCCTCCCCACTCACTGCCAGTGGATGAGGAGGAGCGGCGTTGTCCGCAGGCGGGACCCACGCCCTCAAAGGGCAGAGGAGGCGCTGGAGGCGGCGAGCTCAGGGCCTCGGGCAGGGGTGGAGGTGGCGGTGGCGGCGGGGGCAACTCCCTGGACGCCTTGGGGTCGGCGATGCAGCCGTTATGCAAGTGGTTCCCGGAGAGTAGCGCCGCCTGCGGGGGAGCGGAGGGGCCGGCGAGTAAGCGTCGGGCGGCTTGGCCGGGCCCCGGGCGGTCGGCGGGCGCGGGCTGGCGAGCACGCACCTCCTCGCTGTGCGCCATGCCCGGGAGCGCGGCCAGCGGCTCCCCGAGGCAGCGGCCCAGCTGGCGGTAGTAGTCCCCCGTGCTGGGCTGCTTGCTGACGGCGCGGGGCTTGCGGCCGGAGTCCTGCCTCCGCAGCCCGTTGTCGCCGTCGCGGGAACTCAGCTGCGGGAAAACAGCGGGCAGGGTGGGCTTTGGGCACCTGCGCCCGGTCGCCCTTTGTGCCCCTCTCCCAGCTCTTCACCTCCCGAGCGCCTCGTTCCAAGGCCCTTCTGTTCTTAGAGCAGGCATGGGATGAGGGACACGGGGCCCTCAACCGCAGGACAGCCTCTGCTGGCCCTACAGGGAGAGGTTCTGGGCATGGGCCAAGGGGCATAGGAGCCCCCACGGAGGCTAGAAGGGGCGGGCCCAGGGGCGGGGTGACTCAGCCTAGACGTAGGGGGAGCCCGAGAAAAGCTAATTCCTAGTCTGTGCTGGGTCGACGCTAAGGCCTCAGTCGCAATCCACGCCCGGCAGCCAGAGCCGGGCGGAGGGCCGAAAACTTCTATGAACCTTCTCCTGCGGGGTCCCACCCCTAGAAGCACCTCCCGAACACCGGTTAGGTTCCCGCTTCCTCAGGGCCCCGGGTCGCCCAGCCCTGGGCTGGGGCTGCTCCTACCTGCGACTGTGCCTGCCGGTAGCCCCCGCTCTGCACCTGGCAGCGGGGGCGGCACGGATCCGACACCTGTGCTACCTGATCCCTCGTCTCAGGTTACAGCCGAGCCCTAGCCCGCCCGAGCGGCCGCCCTATGGGCTTGGTCGGCCTGACATCACCCAGGGCCCGCCAATCTCAGGCTAACCCCCCAGCAACTGGGGATGCCACAGGGGCCCAACTGCTGCATCACACCTGGCCACTGTCCTGCACCAGCCCCGCGGGCCAGAAGTGGCCTCGCCCTCCCTCACCCCTCGCCACTCTCCCTCTGGTAGGCACTAAGCACCCGCCTCTCATTCCCCATTCCTCCCCTACGCTGGCCTGAGACCAAAGACTGGCCAAGCACTGGCCAACGGAGCCCCCATCCTTGACCCCGACTGCGGGTCGAGCCCCCCGCCCTTCCTCTCTTGCATCTGGAAACCATTGCCATCCGCGTAAGTGACACCATCACCTCGAGTTTCAGAGGCAGCAAGGTGGGCTCGGGTGACAGTACTGTGGCCCGCCCCGTCGCGGTTGTCTCCCGCTAAGCCCAGCGCCAGGGAAATAGACAAGAGGCGGCTGGACCTGGGGCGAGTGACCAGGCAGGGGCTGTCCCTTTGCCCCACCCCCAGCCTGTGAGTCCCCGCTGTGGCCCCGACCCTCCGAGAGCCCCGCCCGCCTGGGCTCACGTTGCAGGAAACGCGACACCGCGAGATTTGTTTTCTGGGCCAGTCTACCCCTGTCGCCCCCTGCATCCCCAAGGCATGGATGTACTCTACGACCCCTGTCCCGCTCGCGGCCTGGGCACTGACTGGAGGGCGCGCCGGGTGCACAGAAGGCCCTTTGTGGAGTGGCCCCGGGGCCTGTGGCTCGGCATGCACACACCAGGGAGGGCTTTCGGGAACCGTGCAGCCCAGGGCTCAGGGGAGGGAAGGGGGCGCTGACTGGGCCACCTGTCCACCAGCTTTGAGCCCCCGGCGCACAAGCCCGGGAAAGTCTGCCGCCCCATACCCTGGCAGGCCCCTCCTCTATGGCGGAGATGAAAATGATAGCTTGGTCTGAGGTCTGCTCTTGGGGGTGAGGGTGATGTCTTTGTGGAGGCCTAGCAGCTCACACCCACCTGAGTCACCTGTGTGAGGTGGTTAGCCTTCTGCTTGAAAGAGAATGGCAAGGCCAGGGCTCTGCAAGACCCTAGAGGCCCTCACTCCAACCTTGGCCACCTTCGGGCTGCAAGCTGCCCTCCCACCACACCTCAGACTAGGTTGGCTGGCTCTTTGACTGGCTCCCCAGGTTTCACTTTAGGTCACTGTCTAGGATTCCAGACCAGCCCTCTGTCCTCTCTCCCCTCCCAGAAACTCAGCTGTAACCTTTAGGTCATGGCCACTGGGTACCTCACCCTCAACGTTCCCACGCTGGACTCAGTTTCTTCTCACAGCCTGCTTCTCCTTCAGGGCTCTTGTCTCTGCACTGACCTTTCATTCCCTTCCCTCAGCCCCAATGCCAGTGGGTTCCAAGTCCTGCCAGGATCCCCTACTTTTTCTTTCACTCTCTACCCACCTCAAACCCACTGCTGCCATTCCTCACTAAGCCCAGGGCTGTGGGCAGCTGTCATTCTCTGCCAGCTCCAAGACAGCATTGCCACTTGTCAAGGCCCTCAGTGAAAACATTCCATATCTTTTCATTCCTTTTGTCCATGAACCTTTTGAATCCCCTGCATATGTACCTACTGCCCCCAACTCTTCAGTGAAGGCAGAGGCTTTGTCTTACTCATCCTCTGTCTCCATTGCCCAGCCCTGAACCTGGTGAGGGGCAATACCCCATGGGACTGGCCAGAAGCTGCTGTGAGCCTCTAGAACAGGTCCTGTACCCACAAGCAGAACCAGTTTCTGGGCCTCCGCTGTCCACACCCTCCATCAGTTCAAGTCCAGTCCCACTGCTGGGAGGCAGGGTGAGGGCTCAGTACCTCCTTCTTGAGAGCTTCCGTCTCCACGTGGCGCAGTTTGTTCTTTGTCTGCACATAGATGTCAGCTGCTTGAAGCCCCACCGGAGGCTTGGGGGCTGGGTAGCCAGGTGGAGGTGGGGGCGGTGGGGGGAAGCTGGGTGGTGGTGGAGGTGTGGGTTGCCCCATCTTGCCCTGAGGCAGGCCCAGCTCGGGATTCAGCATGTCCATGTAGGCCTGTATGTCTGCAGCTCTTGTGCTAGGAAGCCCTGGGGACCGAGGGACAGAGGGAAAGAGGGTGGATTCAAGACTGTTTACTGCCTGAAAGCAATTCTGCAAAGGGGTCAGGTGGGCTCAGGAGCACTACTGGCAGTGATTCAACCCTGTTCTCTTTGGGGGAAGAGCAAGCACCCAGGTCTGGAGAAAGCTTTGTCTCCAGGGCGTGCCTGTGTGGCAGGAGATGGGAGGAGCAGTTCCTGCGGGCAGCTCTGGGTGGCAAGGAGTAGGGAAGTCCACACCCGACTATGGCTGCGGACCTCATACATACCCCCTCAACTGCCTCCCTTTCCGTATCTCCTCTGAAGGTCACCATCTGGTGGTGTGAAGCAGGTATTGCAGATGGACAGTCTGCCATGCCCAGGGTGTGGTCAGTGCGTGTGTGCATGAATGCCTGGGGCTTCTGCTCATGATTCTTTGTAGTAATGAGTGTGTTTGTGCTGGTGTGTGGGTATGAGGTGTGTATGCATGTGCACATCTGTAGTATGAGGAGAAAGGGTGGGTGTCTGTATATATCTGTCTGCATAGCTCCATAGGTGTGGGTGTAATGGATTGAATTGTGTTGTTGATTGGTTTCTGAATCATAGTGACCCTGTATATGGTTTCCCTAGCGATCCTATGCAGACTTTCAATATACAAGGGAGCAGAAAGCCTCATCTTTCTTTTGTGGAGCAGCTGGTTGACTCGAACCATGGACTTGGTTGTTCATATGGAAACATATGGAACCACCACACTCCCAGATTAAATTGCATCCCCCTCCAAAAAGACCAATTGAAATCCTAGCCACTGTACCTGTGAATGTGTCCTTGTTTGGGGAAATGAGGTCTTCCTTTAAAGATGTTACCCAATTAAATCAGAGAACAGTGGGGTGGTCTGAATCCTAATCCCTTCTGAGGGGGGAAAACAGACACCAAAGGCAAATGCAACTATAGATTGGAGCCACCAGAGCTAGGAGAGAGACAGGGAACAGCTCCTCTCTCCAGGCATGCAGAAGGGGTAGACTTGGCTGAAACCTTGATTTGGACTTCTAAACTTCTGTTCTTTAAAGCTACCCGCTTTGTGGCAAGCTGTTACGGCAGCCCCAGAACACTGAAACACTGGGTGTGAATTCCTATGTGTATATCCGTGTGTATACAAGTGTGAGTGGACTTGTATATGGTCTGCGTTAGTATATGTGAGGGTGAGGGTATGGAATTGTGTGTGGGAGGGTAGGGGAGGTTTTGTGGGGAAGAGATATGTGTGGTTGTATAACACACACATGTGTTTGCAATGGGTACAAACAAACATGAGCATCCCCTCCCAAGTGTTTGAGGCAGCAGGTGACTTGGGTGTCGCATGAGCAGTGAACTAGGGGCTGGATCTCAGTGCCCAGGGGTCCAGCTTCAGGCTACTCTTCCTCCTCCCAGGCTGGCCCACTCACCTCTGGAAGCGCGCCGACCCTTTATGCTGCAGCGGCTGGAGGGGCAGGAATCGTAGTTGGAGAGGGTACTATTGGGTGAGCTGAGGTCGAAATTCAGCGGCTGGACTGACATGGTGGTATTGGGTGAGGACATGCCCGAGTCGGGCTGCTTTGGCTCCAGCTCAGCGGATGGGTCCCTGGACAGCACTCGGTGCTCCACACTCTGGGGTCAGGGGTGCAGGGAAGGAAGAGGGGAGCGTAGGGTTACCTCTTTGAACCATTTCTTTCTCGTCTCTCTCTGAGCTCCTTTCCTCATCACTGGAAGGTTTCCCAGTTCCTTCTCAGGCTGATTCAAACCCAATATCTCCCCACTCCCTGGCCATAGCATCCCGGGAGTCTCCCATGTCCTGACTTCTCCCTGTTCAGAAGGTTGAGAGACTGCTGGGTTGGAAGGTACATGGGGCTGGGCCTTAAAGGGCAGAGGGCCTTGGCTCTGGAGTATCTGTGGAGAAGAGGCTCCGGAGCTATAGCTAGTGAGAATACTTGCAGTAGCTGAGGCTACGAAAGGGGTCCAGGGCCCCCACAATATGAAGGAGCCCAGACCCCCCATTGCCTGGCCAGTATTTCTTCTGTCTCCTTCCCACCTGGGGCAACCTCCCAATACTAGTCCAGCTGTGTCTCCTGGTAGAGCCCTTAGGGAAAGGATGGGGGACTAGGAGACCCAGCTGATTTATGCCCAAGCCTGCCCCCCCCCACGTGTCTGTGCCCCTGTCTGGAGGCCTGTCCCTCTCATTGTGGGGGCTGGCTGGGGGTGGGGGTCCTGCTTACATTGCCCATGGCGTCCCCGCTGCTTGCAAGTCTGCTCTCTGCCGTCTCCTGCCCAGGCCTGCTCTTCCTTGCCCTGCGCCCCCTCCCTGCCTGAGAAGTGTCACAGGCCCCCTGGGAATGGGAAGCAGGCCCGGCACCAGGTAACCGCGTGGCCACCACGCTCATTGGCCTCGTAATTAAGGGCTCTGTGGGAGTGTTTGCTTTTTCTGGGCCAGAATCCTTGGTGGCTTGGATCTGTCACTGCTGCAGCTGGGTCCGCCTGGGTGAGTGGGCCAGAGTGCCCCCACCCCAAACTCCACCCAGTTCATGGAGGCCAGGCCCTGCTGTCTACTCCATAGCCAAGGCACAGTCATAAAGCTGTGCCTTGGCTATGGTGGAGGGGCAACCCGTGGATGCTCTTTTTGTGGGCACCAGGGGCACCCAGTCCTGACCAGCTTGAGGCATTGGCTTTGAACTCCGCCTCCATCATTAACTAGCTGTTAAACTTTGGGCAAGTCACTTATCCCTTCTGTACCTCAGTTTCTCTATCTGTGAATGGGTATAATGCTAACTGCCCCAGTGGGTTGTGAAAATGATTTATAAACTTAATGAAGTGTCAGGTCATGGCACTCAGTAAATGTCCTTTATTCATTTATTTATTGTGAATTCAGTGATTGCTGATTATGGTGTTATTCTAGTAGGAGCCATCACAGTGAAGGTTGTTGGGAGGGGCTGGAAGTCCCTGGGGCTCTGGTGCCACCATGCCCTGCAACAGAACTGGCTGAAATATGCCACTTCTGGTATAGAAATGCCCTTCTCAATGTCTACACCTGCTTGGATACCCTGATCAAGAGACACTTACTGCCTCCCATGTCAACCACTGTTTTGGAGCCAACCCTTCTGGATGGAAGTTCTTCCTTGGGTCTTACAACAGTCTCTCACCCCTGGACCTTGCTGTTCCCAGAAGCAGGGCCATTCCCATGTGCTGACAGATGGGGCACAGCCATTCCATCTTTTTGTTTCCACACTAGATTTCCCAGCCCCTCTCATAACCAGGCTGTCTCTAGAGCTGGCCAGTTTTTTTTTTTAAAGGATTATGAGAGGCCACACTCAATCCCCTACTGCCCCAAAACAGACACTGTACCAGATGGGGTAGTAGCTATAGGCTTGGAAACAGCCACACAGGTCCCTGACTTCCCTGCTGTCTAACCACACTAAAACAATTTACAAGTAGTAACATGGGTTTCCAGTTACAAAGTAGCTATGAAATAAGCAAACTACAGTGTAGGGATTGAGACATGGCCCTGGTCAGGCACTGGAGACCTATCCAGGATGCACCACTTAAGAATGATGTGACTTTGGTCAAGGGGCTTCATCTCCTCATCTGCAGAATGAAGTTAGTAACACTACCCACCTCAGAGGGTGGGTGGCTTTGGGGTAAAATGAGCTAATCCGTATGGGTCAGTAGTGGGGCACTCCATGAGGGACCTGAAAAGGGACCTAGGCTGTCGCATTGGTATGTAAGTGCCAGGTGACTTCTCCAGCCCAACTCAGGTTATCAAGATGTGGATCGATCTTTCTCAAAATTTTGACTCCAAGTTTACAAAACTAAACTGGGCTGGGGTTGTAGTCAAGGTATTTTGTTAGTTGTGTAACCATGGGCAATGGGTTTCACTTCCTTGAGTCTCCTCTTCCTCCCCACCACTGGGGAAGAGATGTTGGCAGGGTGAGCGCCTAGGACGTACCAGGTTTTCCACCGTGCGCAGGTAGCGGGTGCAGTGGCTGTGGCCGTTGTAGTCCGAAAGGTCGGCGGCCGTGTACCCGTCACGGTCGCGAACATCTAGCTCCGCGCCGTTCACCACCAGGATCTGGCAGCACTGTGGGGGCACGTAGTGAGATCTCTAGTCTTCAGCCCGGGACCGCCAAGCCAGGACAGGGCCATGCTGAGAACGCGACGCCAGTAGAGGGCGCCCGTGCCCACCCTGAGATCCAACCCCGTTTCTCCCACGCCCAGTTCTAACCTCCAGCTCCCCGTTCTCGGCGGCATCGTGCAACGGGGTCCCGCCCCACAGATCGGGGGAGATCTCGCCACCGTGCAGAAGAAGCCAGCTGAGCACTTTGGCGTGGCCGCGGCTTGCCGCGAAGTGCATGGCCGTGGCGCCATCCTTGTCCTGCTCGGACAGGCTCACGTCTGTGCAGCTCACCTGAGCGAGAGTAGGAGAGGGGAGGAGGGACAGGGGCTGAGCCCCAGTCCCTTCTTGGCCCCGCCCCTGGACCTGCCCCTTCCCGGACCGGCTCCGCCCCTGCCCCGCCCCTCCCCGCCCGGTCTCCCGAGCTCACCAGCCACACGATGACGGGACTGTGACCCATTTGTGCCGCCGCGTGCAGCGGGGTCATGCCGTCTTGAGCGCGCGTGTGCGGATCCGCGCCGCACTCCTGCACCAGGTACTGCGTAACCTCCAGGTGGCCCTCCTGGCATGCCAGGTACAGGGGCGTGGCACCATTCTTGGTTTGGACATGCACTCCCCTGTAGAGACACGTGAACTCTCGACTCCCGCTCCTCCCACACAAGTCTCCCTACACCCCTCGGCCCCTTCTAGGGATCCCTGGAGGACTGACAGCATGCATGGGTTGGAGAGGGCCTGGTCACCGTCCCTCCTCCTCCAGGGGAACTCCTCAGTCTTGTCCCTTCCTTTCTAAAATGCAAATCTTTCTGAGTCATTTGCCTTTTTTAGCAAGGTCTGCAAGGACCCTGGTGACCTGACCTCTCCCTAACTTCTCAGTGACCCACTGTCATTGGCAAGTCTGAACATTTGGGACATTTAATGTTGTTAAGTTCCTACTCTTAGTGACCCTGTATAGGGTTTCCAAGGAGCAGCTGGTGAGCTTGAACCACCAACCTTGTGGTTCAAACCTAACTTGCGGTCCAGCACATTAACCCACAGAGGCACACTATTTGTTATTTATCTGAAAGTAAAATTTAATTGGCATCTCATTTTGTAAGTCTGGCAGCCTCGTGGGGAGGCTACCATTTTCTGAGCACTAGCTGTGGAGGGCAGTGCAATGAAGAAGAACATGGCATCAGGATTGGAGAAGACTCCTTGACAACCTGCCATATGCAGATGATGTGACCTTGCCTACTGACAGTGAAGAGGACTTAAAATACTTACTGATGAAGATCAAAGACCACAGCCTACAGTATGGGTTACACCTCAATATAAAGGAAACAAAAGTCCCTAAATAGAGATAAATAGATTATGATAAATAGAGAAAAGATTGAAGTTGCCAAGGACACCATTCTTCTTGGATCAACTATCAACACTCATGGAAGCAGCAGTGAAGAGATCAGACGACGTATTGCATTAGGCAAATCTGCTGCACCAGACCTCTTTAAAGTGTTCAAGAAGAAAGATGTCAGTTTGAGGACAAAGGTGCATCTGACCCAAGCCAGGGTATTTTCAATAACCTCATATGCATGTGAAACTGGACCGTGAATAAGGAAGACCCTAGAAGAATTGATGCTTTTGAGTTATGGTGTTGGAAGAGAATATTGAAAGTACCAAGGACTTCCAGAAGAACAACAAAGAAATCTGTGTTGGAAGAAATACAGCCAGAATGCTCTTTAGAATCCAGATGGCCAGACTTTGTTGCTTGTGCTTTGGACATGTTATCAGGAGTGACCACATCCTGAAAAGGACATCATGCTTGGTAAACTGGAGGGTCAGTGGAAAAGAAAGACACCCACCTACACAATGAGCTGGACTGGCACAGTGGCAGCAGCAATGGACTCAAGTGTAACAACAATTGTGAGATTGGTGCAGGACCAGCCAGTGTTCCATTCCCTGTGCACAGAGTTGCTATGAGTCAGAACTGACTCAACAGCACCTAACAATGAAAGCAACAAAGCCCTGGTAGGGCACTGTAGGATAAGCATTGGACTGCTAACTGAGGCAACCAGTTGGTAGTTCAAACCTACTAGCATCTCTAAGAAAATTTATATTGGGTAGTAAATGAGTCAGAGCCAACTGGACAACATGTTGTTGTTGTTGTCAGGTGCCATCGAGTCAGAACCAACTCATAGCGACCCCATGCACAGCAGAACGAAACAATGTCTGATCCTGGGCCAACCTCACTACCGCCGCCACACTTGATGCCATCAATGATGCCACCTGGCTGATTCCATCTCATTGGGGGTCTTCCTCTTTTTCTCTGACCCTCCATCTTACCCAGCATGATATCCTTCTCCAGCGACTGTTCCCTCAGGACAATATGTCCAAAGTATGAGAGACGAAGCTTAGCCTTCCTGGCCTCCAAGGAGCACACTGGCTGCACTTCTTCCAAAACAGATCTATTGGTTCTTTTGGCAGCCCATGGAACTTTTAGTATTCTCCTTCAACACCACAACTCAAAGGCATCAATTCTTCTACGATCTTCCTTACTCACTGTCCAGCTTTCGCATCCATATGAGGTTACTGAAAATACTATGGCTTGGGTCAGGCGCACCTTAGTCCTCAAGCTGACATCTCTGCTCTTCAATACTTTAAAAAGTTCCTGTGCAGCAGATTTGCCCAATGCAGTACGTCGTCTGATCTCTCGACTGCTGCTTCCGTGAGTGTTGATAGTTGATCCAAGAAGAATGAAGTCCTTGACAACTTCACTCGTGGACTTGTTTTCATTTTCTTAAGCTTCAAACTGGACAACATATACAAGGCTTAATAGGAATGGATTGCCCAGGGTGCAATTACCACAGATGGACACTAGGTGGAGCCATAATCTAGGTCTAAATCCCGAGGGGGCAGGTGTGTGATTGCATCAAATCAAAGACGCCATGGAAGGTGGGGTTGTAAATTGGGTACATCTTTTAGTGCTTGAATCAGCCCTCTCTGTCCCAGGAAGGCAACTTTTCATTCGACTTTACATCTTCTCACCTACCTGCCTTCCCCCACCATTGATCCAACTAGGGTATCAACCACTCTCCCAACCCCTCATCCATCAATACTCACTCAACCAAGTGCTCCCCTGCTTATCAACATCACACCAAGTCACTCACCCCATGACCTGTCTGTGTGAGCTCCTTGTTCTACCACAATTCTCCTTCTCCCCTCCTACACTCCAGGGGACTTCTTGTTTCTCCAACCCTGACCCCTGAGTCCCCTTGGCTCTCTTCTTTCCTGATGTGACAACAAAGTTGTCATTTGCTTGGCTGACGCTGAGCCTGGCCCTTCCTCCCATCTGGGCAGTGTAGGGGCCAGGCCTGACTGCCTTGCATTGCCCCATCACTGTCCAGAGCAGAGTGTTTTCCCCTCCCCAGAAGTACATAAAGCAGACCAAGCAGTCACCCACACACCTCTCCTCAGGAACACCCTGGCCCATGGCCAGTGGTCTCCATGCCCCAGTGCCTACATCGCCCCCGCACACAAACCCTCTGCTGGTGCGTTGGTAACAGCCTCTTCAATATTTAATGACGGACACTAAGAAGCCTAAATTATTCACCCTGTAACCAAGGCATAGTGAGAGCTAGGGTCCTGGGGATTGGAGGGGGCCACCACCCAGGGCCCTGGCTCTCTCTGGCTCCTAATGTAGACTCAAGGCAGTGTTTACAGTAAGCCCACTTTCCCTATACCCAGTAGGCCAGTGTCTGTGATCCAGGGTTGCCCAGCTTGTTTGGGTCCTAGGAGCTGGCACTGGGTAGGATCTGGGCCAGCAGGGGGCAGTGGTGGTCACAGCTTTCTGCCAGAACTGGCTGGCATTCCCAGCCTGTCTCTGTCCCCAAGCTGGTCCACAGCTAGTCCTCTGGAGTAACAGGATGGAGCATGGGTTCTAGAGATAGGGACGCCCTCTTTGTGCTTGCAATTAGGGTTCACTGGTCCATTCACTTGACAAATATTTACTGAGCGTCTGCTCTGGACCAGGCACTGTGGACAAAACACTCAGCAAAGAGGAGATGAGACTCCAGCTTCAAGAAGCAGACCATGAAGGAAAAACAAAACAAAACATCCAGGACTGAAGAAATATTGAATCAATAGCTGCATAAGAGTAGAAAAGAAAGGAAGAAATGCATCATGTGAGTGGCATGGAGAGGACTTAAGTGAGGACAGGAGGGAGGGGACACCAGAGGCTGGGGGTGATTCAAGGAGGGTCTTACTGTGAAGATGAGAAACAAGCTAACTTTAAATGGAGGCAGGAGACCTTGGGTAGTATAAACAGTTAACAAGCTGGTTCAAATTCACCCAGAGGTGCCTCAGTGATGCTGTCCTATGGAGCACAGTTCTACTCTGACACGTGTGTTTTCACCAGGAGTCAGGATCGACCCCACAGTAATGGGTAGTAGGTAAAGGAAGTGAGGAAGGAAGACCCGGGAATGGGGGGGTGGGGGGTAGAGAGCATTCTTGGCAAAGTGAACAGTAAGTCCCAAGGCCCGAGGTACGAGCACGTTCTCGGATCCGGAAGAGAAAGCGGTGCAGCGGCTGGAGTGGGGGCTGCTCATGCAGGGCCCTGGGCCCCTTGGAGGTCCTGCCTATACCTTGAAATGGGGGAGGGACAGGGCTTCTGAGCAGAGCAAATGGATTCAAACTCCAGTCCCACTGGCTGCTGCTGTGTTGAGAATAAACTGCAAAGGGGCAAAGACATAGCAGGGACACCAGGCAGGGGTGGCTGCAGTAACCCAGGGAAGATTAACAGGGGCCTCAGGGAGAGTGGGGCAGAAGTGATGGAATGTGGCCAGATTCTAGTTGACATGTGAATGAATGGGATGTCAGAACAACCGGAGACTGGAGTTGCTCCTTACAGTGATGGGAAGATCTTACTGTGGAATATTAAGAGTTTGACTTTGGGCTAGGGGAAGTGTGCCCTTTGGACATCTATGTGAGAAAGATGCCAGGCAGGTAGACAGTGGTTCGAGGATGAGACCAAGCCAAAAAAACCAAACCCATTGTTATCAAGTTGATCCCAACTCATGGTGATCCACATGTTACATAGTGGAACTGCTCCAATGGGCTTTCTTTATTGGCTGTAATCTTTGTTGTAACAGATCACCAGGCCATGCTTCCAAGGCACTGTTGGATGGTTCAAACCACACACCTTTAGGTTAACAGTTAAGAATGAAACCAGGGGGACCAAGAATGGAATTGCGAGTTGTTAGCCCAGCAGTGACATTGAACGCCGTGGGGTAGAGGGAGTGGATACCACCAGAACAGGAGCCAGGCCTGAGCCTCCATTACAGAGTGGCCAGAGAGAGGAGCAGGGTTTGCAAAGGAGACAGAGAAGCAGTAGTTGGAGAGGTGGGAGGATACCTAAAGAGGAGGCGTTCTGGAAACCAAGTGAAGGGAGAGCTTTGAGGAGGAGGGAGTGCTGAGTCCCAGGAGAGAGCCTGCTTAGCCCAGGGGTGCTGTGTGGCCAGTGAGTCAGTCTGGGGGAAGAGCTGGACAGCCTCTGGCCCGTAATAAATGGGCTGGACTCATCACTATTACTATTAGCATTTCTGCCCCTAAACTCGCGACCTCCAGGCTGGAAGGCTCCAGGACATGT